AATAATATACTTCATCAATCCTACTTTAAAAAAAAACGATAATAATTTTAGCAAAGTTTGACGAATTTTTAAAATTAAACTACTTGTTGTAATAATATAAGGCCGTAATATTACAGTAAGTTCTATAAGACCATGATGTATATCGCCAAAAAAAGTTCCATGAAAATCGGTTTACATTTTTTTTTAACAGTTCATTACAAGAAAACGGCTCGGTAGATTTTCACCTAAAATTAATCAGCATCATTCCCAAGTGATATCTTTCGAACAGTTTTTGATTTTTCAAAATCGGTTCGGTAGGATGAGCTTAAATGTGGACGAAAATTTAACACTTTTTATTCAACAGTTAATTACAAGAAAACGGCTCGGTAGATTTTCACCTAAAATTAATCAGCATCATTCCCAAATGATATCTTTCGAACAGTTTTTGATTTTTTAAAATCGGTTCAGTAGGATGAGCTTAAATGTGGACGAAAATTTAACACTTTTTTTCAACATTTAATTACAAGAAAACGGCTCGGTAGATTTTCACCTAAAATTAATCAGTATCATTCCCAACTAATATCTTTCGAACAGTTTTTGATTTTTCAAAATCGGTTCGGTAGGATGAGCTTAAATGTGGACGAAAATTTAACACTTTTTTTCAACATTTAATTACAAGAAAACGGCTCGGTAGATTTTCACCTAAAATTAATCAGCATCATTCCCAAATGATATCTTTCGAACAGTTTTTGATTTTTCAAAATCGGTTCGGTAGGATGAGCTTAAATGTGGACGAAAAGTTCAACACTTTTTTTCAAATTACAAAGAAACGGCTTGGCAGATCGTTTCACAAAACTGACAAACGATAGTCCTCACCGAAATACATCAAATGGCTTTTAAATTTCTAAAATCGGTTCAGGCGTTTTTGAGAAAACGTCGATCAAAAGTCTAATTTTGACAAATGCCAAAAAGACCATACTGATTTTTGCAAACTTTGACGAATTTTTAAAGCTGAACCAGTTGTCGTAGGGCCGTAATATTTTAGTATGACCTAGAAAACTATGGTATCTATCGTCAAAAAAATAATCATAAAAATCGTCAAAATTTTTTTTTTAAAAACTTTATTACAAGAAAACGGCCCGGCCGATCTTTACCAAAAACTAATCAGCACGATTCCCAACCAATATCTATCGAACGGTTTTTGAATTTTCAGAATCGATTCAGAATTGCGGGCTAAAACGTGGACGAAAAATTTTTCACTTTTCTGCAATTTACAAAGAAACGGCCCGGCCGATCGCCGCACAAAACTCAGAGACGATAGTCCTCATCGAGATACATCAAATGGCTTTTAAATTTTTGAAATCGGTCCAACCGTTTTGGAGAAAACGTCGATTTACGGCAAAAAATCTGTTCACACACACACACACACACATACACACACACACACACACACACACACACACATACTTTTTCCAAATTTGGTCTCATTCGATTCAGAATGGCTCGAAACGTCGAGAAAACATAAAATTAGCTATTCGGATTTTTTGATGAAAACATAAACTTCTCCTTCGGGAAGTTAATTAATACTTTGTTTGATATCATCAAGCACATGTCTTCAATTGAAATCAATGCTTTGTTGTAAATTTCTTTACTGATTTGCATATTTGGATTTTTCATTCTATTCCGTATTTGACACAAAATATCATCACACATATGATCTTTGTACTTGATCCACAAATCAATTGGGTTTGATGAAAAGCATGTGGATATGATTATAGAAAACAATGTTTGTATTTGATGAGCGTGTGAAGATATTACAGCATCGGTGAGAGTTTGATCCCAATGAGCGTCATTTTATAGCAATTGTAAACGTTGACGGGCTTCTCTGTAGGATCCACACAATTCACCATCAACAGTTCGTAAATGTTGGAATGATGTTGAGCCACGTACATTGACTAATAGCAGTCATAAAAAAAACATTCACCATGGCTTGGATATACTGAATAAATTCGATCAATCGCATCGGTGAAATATACATCTGTGTGTAGTTCTGGTTTTCCTTGTTTCCGTCTTCCGTCGTAAAAATCTTGATTCCAAGTATAATATTTTGGCATTTCAGAGTATAACAGTGTTTGTACAAAATTATCGTTTTGACATGTCTCAAAAAAACTTGTTATTGTAGTAGATGGTGGCTGAGCAGCTCCTTGACCTGCGTTTCCTGCTGTAAAGTACACCCTTTGTCCATTTTCTAAATGCACAGCTAAGTGAATAACAAAAGGGTGTCTCTCATGAATTGGAAAAGAAATATTAGCCAAATTGCTTCATTACTACTAACATAGCGGCCCATTTGGTATTGAGTAACTTTTATGTTCATTTGGGTCGTTATGTTCTTGTGCAGTACGATTAGATCAGTAATTAGCTTGGTTTGTAGCATTTTGTGTTCTTCTACTTAAATTGCCTCGTCTTATAGGAGGCAATATTGAAATATTGTGTCACATGCAATAACTTTTTATTCATAGGTAGATAACAAAACACTACAAACAAAACAAAAGCACACTCAGTAGAGTATAACAGAAAATGCAAGAAAATGCCGCCCTTGCACTGGCAAGGGCGGCAAATGGACATTGACATTGATTTTTTTAAATCTTATATGACTTGAAGTCAAATTCTTTAACGCCATACCAATTTTATTGCCTGCCGAAAGTAAAACAAAAGAAATAGTGTCGAGAAGCTGACTACGATTATTTGTATTAGTTAGAAAAGGGCTGTTTTAAGGGTTTTCCCGACAATTATTTGAATTTTTCTCGCCGTAAGAACCATCCTTGGACATCAACGAATATTTTAAAAAAAGAATTGGCCAAATTGGTCCAGGCGTTGTTGAGTTATGCGCTTACCAACACATTTTGCGATCCATTTTTATATATAAGATATAATTTGCAATATTGTTTTCTTTAAGTTCTTTCAACCTATTTTTTAGTGAACTGCATAATTTGTTGTATGATGTTTTGTCGCTTGGTGCACGGCTTCTCTGCCAGATTTTTCTAGCTCTTCTTTTTTCTTTAATTAGTTTTTTAATTTCCAGCGGTAAATTGAATTCGACATCTTGTTTATAAAGTGTGGGTGTTGCATTCCTTAGAGCTTCCTTCGTTGCTTGTATAAATAAATTTGTTGCATTGTCTATTTCTTCTTCACTTTTAATTCTTATTTTCAAGTTAATTTTGTTATCCATTTCATTTCTGAATGCGTTCCAGTCTGTTTTATAATTATATAAAGCCCTCGTTTGTTTCTTTTTTATAACATATGTGCTTATTGTCGCAATTATAGGCGTATGATCCGAGGACAGATCCATGCAATCTTCAATATCCATATGCAATGAGGAAATGCCATAGGTTATGAAGAAGTCAAGCAAGTCAGGGACTTTGCGTTCATCTGTGGGCCAGTATGTTGGTCGGCCTGTTGATAAAAGAAATATTTTTTTTCTTGTATTAATTCAGCTAATTGTTTGCCTTTGGGATTCAGAAGTCTGGATCCCCATAGCGTATTTTTGGAGTTAAAGTCCCCACCAGCTATGAATTTTGATCCCAAAATGTCAAAGAATTCTTTAAATTCTGGTTTTTTAATGTTGTACCTAGGCGGGCAATAAACAGCCGAGATAACCAGGTCATATCCGCAAGTATGAATTTTTATCAGTGTAGCCTGTAGATAATTTTTTTCAAATTTAGGCAATTCATAATGTTTTATTGTTGTCTTTATCAAAATTCCTGTTCCAGCATGCGCAGTTTTATCGGGATGATTAGTATAGTAGAAGGTATAGTAAGGTATTTTAAAAGTAGTTGTATCTGTTAAGTGTGTTTCACTTATCAATAAAACATCAATCATGTGTATCTGTAAAAATGCTTCGACTTCATTACGATGGTTGAGAATGCCATTTGCATTCCACTCAGCGATACGTAAAAAGTTCGCCATTATTTTTTTTTGGCTAGTAATGTTAGCATATTTAAAATCATTGTATTTTGTTCAACTAGCTGTTTGAACATGTCTTTAAAGCTGTTGAGTATTTCTTGTAAGGTGTTTGACTGTTGCGTATCGCATCCGTTGTTTTGCTGTGCTCTAAGGGTTTCAGAATAGCTTCGATGCTCCGAAATATTAGCTCGTAGTGAGTGTTGTGCTGCCGAATTAGTCATGCGGCTGGTGCCAGGATTGGTGTTGGAAACATTTCTTCTACTATCTTTGAACATGGACTTATATTTTAAACATCCTCTGTAATTTGCAGGATGGTTGTCACCACAATGCACGCAGATAGCCGGCGTATCTTTAGATTTTTTACACGCAGTAGAATTATGAGGTCCACTGCATTTTACGCATGCGTAGGGTCTGTTGCAATAAGATTTTGAATGGCCAAATAATTGACACCTTGTACACTGTAAAATTTCCTTTCTTTTTCTTAAAGGCTCTACCACTACTATATGATTGAGTAGTTTGGTTAAATTATATATTTTGCTGTTGTTATTAGCAGGCTCAAGGTCAATAAAAAACATATTAAGCGGGCGCTTTGTTTTATATTGCTTGACATTGATAATATTCCTCACCTTATGATTTTGTTTCTCAATTTCCTGTTTGATTTCATTCGTATCGTAAGTGTAATGTATGTTTTTCAGCACAACCCTTAATGCCCTTTCTTCGTTAAGCTGATATGTGTGAAAGTTAGCATTTTTTGATTTGAGTAAAGAAACGAGTTTTCTATACTGTTCCGGTGCTGTTACATTAATCTTAACTATATCATTTGGCAAGGATTTAGTGATGTATTCGTTTCTGTTGAGTATTTCATTAATGTCACTAATCATATCTGCAAATTTATCTACGTTATACACAAACACGGGCGGTGGCCTTTGGACCTTTGTAGTGTTTTCATTCTGTGTATTAGGTGTTGTAGCTAGTAAGCTAAATCTGTTCGATGTTACTAGTTCATTGCTTGAATTACCTTCTGTTGAGTTACGCCTTCTTTTATTTCTTCTGACGTATTACCACGAAGCCGATGGAGTCTGGCTGTCAAGTTCCATGTCGCTAGCGACAGTATTTATTCTTTGTTCATTAACTATTGGCTTATTAATTTGCTGTTGTTGTTGTAGCTGTTGTTGTTGTTGCATCTGTTGTTGTTGTTCTAGCTGTTGTAACTGTTGTTGTTGTTGCATTTGTTGTTGTTGTTGCAGCTGTTGTTGCTGCTGTAGTTGTTGTATATATGCACTTTGTTCGTGGTTATTTACCATGTTAATTTGCTGTTGTTGTAAATACGTATTTTGATCGTGAGCATTTGGCATAATAATTTGCTGCTGCTGTTGTTGTTGTTGTTGTTGTAAACGATGTTGTATAAACGCACTATCTGTCATTGAAGTGTCGTTCAAGACATTTTGTGTTTCTACTAGCGGGAATATAGACTTTCCATTTTCTTGATGTTGCATTATATTAATAAAACTATTTAATTTAATTAATAATATTCGGCATTTAAATTTGTAAATGCCCCCGCATCGGGGACATTTGTGTGTATGTTAAGAACTGTTTAACTGCGCATGCACTTGTACACAATAACAATTCACAAAACTAACTATCACTTCGATACCGATTGTTTACGTAAGAGGTTAGGTTGTTTATACCATCCGAACTGGTCGACGGCTCACGCTAGACTGATGTTTAATATTAATTGAACATCAAAATGTTACGAAAACATTTTGATGGCTTTCTTACGCAACCTCGTAACTCGATTTTTGACGATTTTGAGTTTTAGTCGAAAAATCGGTGTGTGTGTGTGTGTGTGGATACAATTTTCTGTTCACATATTTGGGAGCACGGATCGATTTGATTTGAAATATTTAAAAAGCAATCGTTTACTATTGAGAAAACAGAGCATCCGATTTGAATTATTCAAAAACATTCAACATGTATTGATGATGCGGTGATTAGTTTTTGGAAAAGACAGGCCCAGTCGTGTCAAAGCTTCCGATTCGAATGATTCAAAAAACATTTTGCAGTATGAAGAATCGATTAGTTTAGGAAAGCAAAAAAATGTTTGGCCATTTTTTTTTTAATTTACCATTTTTTTTTCACCGTTTAAATATGAAAAATGATTCGAATTTTAATTTTAATGCTAGCTAAAATCCTAAAACTCTCTTATATACTTCAAACAAATAAATTTAACTTTGCAAATTAGATTATATAATTCTTAGAGATATGAGATATGTTCTTTTTTACTTCTATTTACTTTTAATATAAACATATATAAACGTCGTCGTCGAATTTATTCTTATATTTATAATACGAATAACGAATGTTACAGTATTTATAATAAGCTATTCGAAATCATTTATTGTTCCTCGATTCGATTTAATTACGGAATGGGAAGACAGACAGACAGACAAAAAGTATTTATTACAATAGTTGATCATACATTTGCATTGTTAGTTATCACATATTTTTTCTACCCATTGGTATTTTATATTACATAATTGATCTAAAATATATACAGTGAATATTGTGAACACATTGAGATGTATGACAAATCGTGTGGCAAAAAAGAGGAAAGAAACTTTTTCTCCCAAAAAAAAAACCACAAAGCAATATTTATAATAGTAGTTAATTATACAAAAAAAAAAAAAAACAAAATAAAAGATTTATTCTCATTCAAGTATCAATTGCCGCTATGGGTCGATCAGTATATATTTTGGCATGGCGTGATTGCCATACCAAATATCGTCTCTTGTGTATTGGCCGAGGCCCGCGATGTTAATATTAGGATGATCCCCACATTTTAGGTAAAAATTTTCAGTGAGCTTTTTTATAAAGTCTAGTATGGTCGGTAAGTCAGTCTGTTTGTGTATGTATTTTGAAGAGTAGTAATGTCTAGTCAGTGGGTCCCTTATTTTGTTGAGTACGAGTCGTAGTGTCTTATTTTGTAATGTCTGTAGTTTTCGTAAGTTAGTCTTAGTCGTCGCGTTCCATGCCGGAGCGGCGTATGTCAGTATCGGTCTTATTAGTGTCAAGTAAAGTGTTCGCTTGTTCTTCACGCTCAGCGGGCTGTTGTGGTTCAAGAGAGGTCTCAGTAGATTCAACATCCCGTAAGCCTGTCCAATTTTTGTATTAACATGTTTTGTGAAGCTGAGTCTATGGTCCAGGGTCACACCAAGATATTTGACATCCTTGGACCATTCAACTTCACAATCCAATACTTTAATTTTGTCCAAGTCAGTCAGTCTAGTCGTGGCATTTCGGCTCTTTGTGAAAAGAATAGCCTCCGTCTTTTGCGGATTAATTTTAATTTGCCATTTGTCAGTATATTCAGTTAGTTTGTCTATGTGTGTTTGTATCTTTGTAGTCAGTAGTGTAGGTGAACGTGATGATTTGTATATGGCAGTGTCGTCAGCAAATGTCAGTAACGTTGTGTCGGCGTCAGTGGGTATGTCGTGAATGAAGACGTTAAACAGTGACGGTCTCAGGATTGAGCCCTGCGGTACTCCCGCCGTCACCTGTTTAACCGTCGAAAGTCCGTTGTCTACTTGTACAGTGAAGTTGCGGTCTGAGAGGTATGAGTGTAAAGTTCTCGTTATGTACGGTGGAAAGTTTAGTTGGATAAGTTTATGTATAAGTCCGTCCATCCAGATGGTGTCAAACGCCTTCTCAAAGTCGAGTAACACCAGTCCGGTATGGTTTCGTCTGTTGAAATTGAGAACTGTATTCTCTATGAGTTTTGTCAGTGGGTGTAGTGTGGAGTGTCGTTCTTTGAATCCGTATTGTGTGTCAGGTATAATTTTGTTGTGTCTTATGTGTTTGTTAAGTCTTTCGAGTAGTACCTTTTCGGCTACCTTACTCATTGTGTTGAGGAGGCTGATCGGTCTGTAGTTCTGTGGTATGTCTGGCTGTTTCCTTGGCTTCACTATTGGAAATATGGTGGAGGTTTTCCAAGAAGCGGGAAAGCAGCCTTTTGTCATTATTCTATTTATTATCCGGGTAAGTAAAATGTAGGCGTTCGTCAGCAGTTGTTTAAGTATTATGTTTTGAAGTCCGTCCGGTCCTGGTGCTTTTCTGTTCGGTAATTTTTTAACTATTGTCTTTATTTCGGAAACTGTGGCAGGGTCTATTCGTAAGTCTTTGTCCCTGTGGAGGTCAGTAAAGTTTTGAATTGTCTCGTGTACGTTTGTTTCAGGTCTGCGTTTGACATATTGGCATTTTGTTTATGTATGTTCTCAAAGTTTTTTGCCAATATTTCCGCCTTGTCTGCTGGTGTCGTTGCGTAATTGCTGTCAGTTAATTTGAGTGGAGGTATGGATGCTGGTTTCTGCGTCAGTCTTTTTGCTGTCTGCCAAATTTTGTGTGGGTCAGTATTTATGTTCTCGAGTCTTTTGGTCCAAGTGTTATTTCGGTGGTCACGTATATCATTGGATATAATTTTTGTCAGTCTGTTAACATGTTCCTTGAGTAGTCTGTCACCGGTACGTTGCCACAGCTTCTTTGTATGATTTTTAAGTTGTATTTTCAATAAAATGTGTTTTGGCAAGTTGTTGGCTGGTGTTGTTCTTGAGTCTAGTGTCGGTATGGTCTGTTGTACAGCGTCTGTGATTGTCAGTGTTAGGTGTGTTACAGCCTCCTCAATGTCAGTGTTGGTATCGATTGGCATTGTGTGTCGTGTATTGTCTGTGATGATGTCTCTGAAAAATGGCCAGTTGGCTCTGGAGTAATCTAAGAATTTGCGTTTGGGAGTCTGGTCGACGTCTAGTCTGTCTGAAATGGTCATGAACACAGGATTATGGTCGGAGTTAAAAAGTGTTCTTGTTATGGGTTCGGATGTTATGTGTAGATTTTTTGTCAATGCCAAATCGATGGTGCTGTGATGGTGTGTCTGTACGGTGGCGTATCTGGTCGGCGTGTCAGGATAGTGTAGTTGTGCGTCTGAGGTGTTGTGTTCGGTCAGGTATTCGTAAAGTCTGTTTCCGTTTGCGTTGTTGAAGTTACAGTTCCAAGATGTGTGTTGTGCGTTAAAGTCTCCTGCCATAAGTACAAATCTGTTCGAGTCCAGTAGTCTTTGTAAGTCCGTATGTTCTAGTCTGCTTGCCGGGATGTAAATCGATATTATGGTTACTTTTTGACCTCTCTTGTATACATTAATAGCTGTTATTTCGGAACCGCCCGCTGTCAGGTTTGGCACTTGCTCGTGTCTGATGTTAGACTTAATCAAAATCGCAGTGCCGCCCCATCTGCGTGCGTCCGTCTGTCTGTCGTTTCTGTAAACTTTGCAATTGTTGATATAGAGTCTGTCCGTAGGTTTTAGGTGTGTCTCGTTAATCAGTACTATGTCCAGATCGTATTTTGTTATCGTCTGTCTCAGTTCGTCTACGTTGTTTCTAAGTCCATTTGAATTGAAATGCATTATTTGTAAGTCTTGTGATTGGTTTATGGTGATGATGTGAGAAAGTTTAAAATTGTTGTGTATTTGTCGTTATAAGTCATGTTTGTGTTTAGTGTTTTTGTCAGTTTGTATAGCTCACTAAAAATTTGCTTTACCTGGGGATCCGCAAATAGTTTTCTGATCTCGCCCATAGCAGCAAAGAGTCCTTCCGGAGTGTTGAGGTCTGGATCTGGCTGGTTGGTTGTAAACTCGACCGTTGATGGTGTTGGCCGGATCGGTGCTGGTCTTGGTGATGGTGAAGGCCGGGCCGGTGATAGCGTGGACTGGAGCGGAGGTCGGTATGATGTCCGTGGGATAGGGAGTTGAGGATAATCAGATTTGAAGTTAGGGCCGGTGTTTGTCGGATTTAGAGCTGATGAGAAACTTCTTGTCAGTGGCATTGGTGTTGGAGCTGGCACATATACTTTTCTTCTCTTGAGAGTATCGTTTTCCTTCTTCTCTATAAAATTGAGGAGTGCGGTGCACTGAGAATAGTTCGCCGGGTGTTCTTTCTTACAATTGACACACATCGGTGCCTCGGTTAGTAGTTTCTTGCACGCACCTGGCGCGTGCATCTCGAGACACTTTATACACCTGTACTTCATATCGTAGGTGTACGGTGTGTGTCCAAAATTCAAACAGTTGTGACACTGTAGAGCCCTATTTTGTGACCTGTATGTCTCCCAAGAGAAGATGTGCCGTCCAATGTTACTAATTTGCTTCAGCTCCGACATGTCTTGATCTTTCTCCAGAGAGACAAGGTATATGGGCAGCTTATGTTGGCTGCCATCCGATAACTTTCGTTTGATCTGTATCACTTGTCTGACTTTAACTCCTTTCAATAGAAGGTCTTCGCAAACTTCAGCTTTGGGTATCGAAGGATGAAGTCCAGTCATTGTTATTTTCTTCGGCAAATCTTTTCTCATCGAGTATGTGTAGAATTGGTAATGGCATTCTCTCAATACTTTTTTAACTTGCTCGTGTTCCTGAATTGTGTCTGTAAAAATTTTGTGTAATTGCGTGTTG